ATTTATCAAAACTATAACCAGGTGTGTGAATTTATCAAAACTATAACCAGGTGTGTGGATTTATCAAAACTATAACTAGGTGTGTGGATTTATCAAAACTATAACCAAGTGTGTGGATTTATCAAAACTATAACCAGGTGTATGGATTTATCAAAACTATAACCAGGTGTGTGAATTTATCAAAACTATAACCAGGTGTGTGGATTTATCAAAACTATAAACAGGTGTATGGATTTATCAAAACTATAACCAGGTGTATGAATTTATCAAAACTATAACCAGGTGTGTTGATTTATCAAAACTATAACCAGGTGTATGGATTTATCAAAACTATAACCAGGTGTGTGAATTTATCAAAACTATAACCAGGTGTGTGGATTTATCAAAACTATAACCAGGTGTGTGAATTTATCAAAACTATAACCAGGTGTGTGGATTTATCAAAACTATAACCAGGTGTATGGATTTATCAAAACTATAACCAGGTGTGTGAACTTATCAAAACTATAACCAGGTGTGTGAATTTATCAAAACTATAACCAGGTGTATGAATTTATCAAAACTATAACCAGATGTGGGGATTTATCAAAACTATAACCAGGTGTGTGAATTTATCAAAAGTATAACCAGGTGTGTGGATTTATCAAAACTAAAACCAGGTGTGTGGATTTATAAAAACTATAACCAGGTGCATGGATTTATCAAAACTATAACCAGGTGTGTGAATTTATCAAAACTATAACCAGGTGTGTGGATTTATCAAAACTATAACTAGGTGTGTGGATTTATCAAAACTATAACCAAGTGTGTGGATTTATCAAAACTATAACCAGGTGTGTTGATTTATCAAAACTATAACCAGGTGTGTGAATTTATCAAAACTATAACCAGGTGTGTGAATTTATCAAAACTATAACCAGGTGTGTAAATTTATCAAAACTATAACCAGGTGTGTGAATGTATCAAAACTATAACCAAGTGTGTGGATTTATCAAAACTATAACCAGGTGTGTGGATTTATCAAAACTATAACCAGGTGAGTGGATTTATCAAAACTATAACCAGGTGTGTGGATTTATCAAAACTATAACCAGGTGTGTGGATTTATCAAAACTATAACCAGGTGTGTGAATTTATCAAAACTATAACAAGGTGTGTGGATGTATCAAAACTATAACCAGGTGTGTGGATTTATCAAAACTATAACCAGGTGTGTGGATGTATCAAAACTATAACCAGGTGTGTGGATTTATCAAAACTATAACCAGGTGTGTGGATTTATCAAAACTATAACCAGGTGAGTGGATTTATCAAAACTATAACCAGGTGTGTGGATTTATCAAAACTATAACCAGGTGTGTGGATTTATCAAAACTATAACCAGGTGTGTGGATTTATCAAAACTATAACCAGGTGTGTGAATTTATCAAAACTATAACAAGGTGTGTGAATTTATCAAAACATTTCCAGGGACTGACTTACAGTGCCCTACATAACCCCTCCCCTCTTTTGCCATTATTTCTGCATCACTGAAAAACATACGATTATTTTTCAGATGGTCATCAGGCAGACATTTTTTTTACAATTTAATTAATTTTCTTATCGTATAAGCTTTAAAAATTAAGTAAAACTGAGAGAAAGATTGCTATTGATGAGCAATGGCAATGACGAGATAGATTGCTGCTATTAAACAAAGATGAAAAAAAAATTATACTGATAAACAAGGATATAATAGATTGCTACTGAATTACAACGATGAAATAGATTGCTACTGATAAACAAGGATGAGACAGGTTGCTACTAATAAAAAATGATGAGATAGATTGCTAGTTATAAACAATGATGAGATAGATTGATACTGATAAGCAATGACAATATAGATTTGCTACTAAAACAATGACGAGATAGATTGCTACTAGTAAGCAATGATGATATAAATTGATACTGATAAACATTGACGAGATAGTTTTCAAATGATAAACAATGATGAGATCGATTGCTAATGATAAACAATGACGAGATAGATTGCCACTAATAAACAATGATGATATAGATTGCTACTGATAACTACTGACGAGATATATTGCAACTATTAAACAACGATGAGATAGATTGCTAGTATAAACACCGATGAGATAGATTGCTAGTATAAACACCGATGAGATAGATTGCTAGTATAAACACCGATGAGATAGATTGCTAGTATAAACACCGATGAGATAGATTGCTAGTAATAAACAACGATGAGATAGATTGCTAGTATAAACAACGATGGGATAGATTGCTAGTAATAAACAACGATGAGATAGATTCCTAGTATACATAACGATGGGATAGATTGCTAGTAATAAACAACGATGAGATATATTGCAACTATTAAACAACGATGAGATAGATTGCAACTATTAAACACCGATGAGATAGATTGCTAGTAATAAACAACGATGAGATAGATTGCTAGTATAAACAACGATGAGATAGATTGCTAGTATAAACAACGATGGGATAGATTGCTAGTAATAAACAACGATGAGATAGATTGCTAGTATAAACAACGATGGGATAGATTGCTAGTAATAAACAACGATGAGATAGATTCCTAGTATACATAACGATGGGATAGATTGCTAGTAATAAGCAACGATGAGATAGATTGCTAGTATAAACAACGATGGGATAGATTGCTAGTAATAAACAACGATGAGATAGATTCCTAGTATACATAACGATGGGATAGATTGCTAGTAATAAACAACGATGAGATAGATTGCTAGTATAAACAACGATGGGATAGATTGCTAGTAATAAACAACGATGAGATAGATTCCTAGTATACATAACGATGGGATAGATTGCTAGTAATAAACAACGATGGGATAGATTGCTAGTAATAATGATTTTATTATGTGTTCTTTTGATAATGTTTTTGTTCAGAAATTCACCATAATATATAGCTCCACGTTTATTAAATGACTAGCCATGTGCAATATACCCGGTGTGGCCCGGGATTGCATTAGGATCCCATCCTGGTGGGACCTTGATCACTATTGGGACCCCAATCTCATTTTGACAACGATCCCGGTGCAGTCCCGTTTCCCGGTAGGATCGCGTTTTCTGGTGACTCCGGATCCAGGGAGAATCCAGATCGTGGTGGGATCCCAATCCCGGCGGCATCTCGATCTCAGAGGGATCTCGATGGATCCCGATCCAAGTGGGCTACCGATCCCGTTTTCATGCCATCCTCTGTGGGATCCCGTTCCATCTAGGGCCTCCCTTTTCCGACATTATCCCGTTTCCCGACAGGATCCCGATCTCGGTGTGATCCCGTTAACTGATGGGATCACATTACCGATCGGTTTCAGTTGACTGTTGGATCTCGTTCCTCATTAAGATCCTGTTCCTCTATGGCATCGGTTCTCAACATCTGAGTCGCGACCCCTTTGGGGGTCGAACCATCCTTTCACAAGGGTACTCTACAGTTATGAAGTAGCAACGAAAATAGTTTTGTGGTTACAACATAAGGCACTGTATTAAAGGGTCGTGGCATTAGGAAGGTTGAGAACCATTGCTCTATGGGATCATGCTCAGTGCGATATTGTTAGAATAACCTTTCAGATCCCATGATATCTCTCCGTAGAACACTATAGAACCTTCTGGAACATTCTAGATATAATTTGATAGTCTCCATGAAACGTTTCAAAAATTACTTTTCTACGAAATTATTTTTCGAATACAAATCTATATTTGAAGAAATATTATATAACTAAATTGCAATACTACAACTATAGTGCATTTAAACTAAAATACGGGCCCTGTTGGGGGCCCATTTAATAAAGTACCGTTTTAATTATGTCTGAGATAGGGGGTCCTATACAAATCATTCAG